ATACATATGTTGACAGTTAATTCATATCGCACAGACGAATATTACATATATAATACAATATGATAAATACTAATGATGGAGACTCCAAGAGTTAATTGAGGTTTAACCCCTAATAAAAAGCCGTTGTTAAATTGATATAAAAGTGTAAAACCATACGCTAATTCGATTAATTAGACAACCCATACATGAATCAAAAATACCGCGATTAACCAAATGTTTAGTAGATTGAACGGCCGATTAACCAGTTGACCGGTTAATTAATCGAATAATAACAAAAAAGATTTGGACACATTGACATTTGACACAACGAACCAAAAAGGTCGATTAACCAGTTGACCGGTTAATCAATCGGTCAATCAAATAATAACAACAAAATTTGGATAATTTGACATTTGGCACAACGAACCAAAAGCGACCGACCGAATTATACAATATAGGTAAATAAATAAATAAATATTTTGTGTAAGTCAAGCCAACGAAATCCTGATTGGAGTGTAATAATAAAATAACAAATCAGAAAATTGCGATAATTATCGCACATTTCTTCAATGAACATTACAGTGGAGCTGATGCAATAATACATATATTATATAACCTTGATTGTGACAAAAAAAAAATGTTTTATCCTTGATTCGATTACGGTTAACCTCATTCTGATTTGAATCAATCATCAACAACATCAGTCCAAACCGGAGGTTTTGAGAGGTAAACTAAAAAAAAACTTCAGAAAGATCTCAAGAGCAATTCGCTAAGAACACAAAGTAAGAAAGCTCAACATTGGCAAATCTGAAACAAAAGGATCAACACGTCTCTGATCACTGGATAAAAGAAACAAAACACTTGGATCTCAAAAATCTATGAAATGCGCGAAAGATAAACAAGGAAGAGATGTCATCAATTCATTCTCCTGACAAGCTCGTTGATGAAATTCTCGCGGTTTCCGGCATCACCACCTTCGACGTAGTGGTTTCTCTTCTTCTTAAGGCCACCGAGTGGTGCCTTCAATTGGAATGGCCAAAGGAAGTTGTTGGCTTCTTTGAAGTGAGGTCCAACAGTCATGATCTCGTGGATCAGATCCTCCACGCAGATGATCCCGTGCTTCCCTAGAGCTGCATCCACAATCGAGTTGTCGGTAAGTGCAATCCTCTGGTGGTTTAGCTTTCCGAATCCCCTTTTGTAGATCAGTTCCTTAACGCTCTTCAAGTTTGGGTATCTGCACCAGAGATATCATCATTCACACTTAGATCATATTCTTGTGGTTACCAC